AACAAAAGAGCTACAGTGAGAGGTCATTCACTTGATACAGGCTGTTGTGTCCGTACTTAGAGAGCTCTTAGGAATGGTAGGATGATGATGGTAACGATGATAATGATACGTACAATATCGATGATAAGAATGATAATGATAAGATAATGATAATGATGAGTAGATATGATGATAATGGTATTGATGATAAAAGCAATGACAATATACATAATGATGATGATAATGGTATTGATAATAAAAGCAATGACAATATATATAATGATGATAGTAATGGTATTGATAATAAAAACAATGACAAAATCAAAATCAAAATAATAATGGTAATAATGGTGATAGTGATAACAATCATGAAATTATCAAATCATGATATTGATGAAATTAATAGTAATAATGATAATAATGATATTGATAAGGATAAGGATAATAATGGTAAGGATAAGGATAATAATGATGATAATAACGATAATAATGATAATATTGAATTATAATAATGCTGATAATAATACTGATGATAATGATAATAATGATAGTGATAAAAATGATAACAATAATGATAATAATACTGTTGATATAAATAATGATAATAATTATGATAAAAATACTGTTGATATGAATAATGATAATGAATTTGATAGTAATAATAATGATGATAATGATGATAGTACTAAAGAAATAGTAGTAGCATACTAATAGGGGTAGTAGTAATAGTAGTAGTAATAAAAAAGTAGTAGTAGTAATGATAATAACAATGATGATGATGATGATGATAGTGATGATAACAATAATGGTAATGACAGTAACAATGATAACGATAAAAAAATATTTATGTTATATTTACCATGATTGCTAAATCTTGTCATTATAATAATCATGATCATCATCAATAGTAGTAAAATGAAACAATGATAATGATAATATTCGTAAATAATGATAATGGTACTAATGATAACAATGATAATTATAATCTTCATCATTGTCATTACTATTATCATTATTGGTATCATTATCATTGTTATCATAACATCATTAATATCATCTTCATTGTTTCATCATCATCATCAGTAGTAGTAGTAGTAGTAGTATTTGTAGTACTGGTGGTAGTATCTATTTGTAGGTCGCTGTAACAAACTAATAAATCACATTAATGATTCTAATTACATCCTACGCACGGCAATACATCAGACCCTTGTCACACACACACACACACACACATACACAAACTCTCTCTCTTCTCTCTCTCTCTCACTCTCTCACTCACACACACACACACACACACACACTCTCTCTCTCTCTCTCTCTCTCTCTCTCTCTCTCACACACACACACACACACACACACACACACTCACTCACACACACAAACACACACACACAACACACACACACACACACACACACACACACACCACACACACACAACACACACACACACAACACACACACGCACACACACACACAACATCACACACACACACACCACACACACACACACACAACACACACACACACACACACACACAGACGTTCCTTCCCAGCTAAGCAGTTTTCACCCTCCGCATTTAGGAGGCGTCGCGGGAGATCCTGGACTCCATAAATTTCGTGACTCGACCGTAAATTTCCCCCAAATTGCCATGCAATGTGGCAAATTCAGCGGAATATTTACGTTTATG